CTAAATTGTACAGGTAGTGTTCTGAAAATGGCAACATCTAAGCTTTGAAGCTACAGTTACATGACTGTTTACTTTACGTGCGCGCGTGTGTGTTTCATTAAAAGGTGACAATATGAAACGTGCCTAAATTTATCGTTCATGGAACCATAAAAGATTTTCGTTCACACATTCGCGCTTGACGACGAGACGTGCTCTATACTGAAACGCTGATTCAAGCTTCTATAACTATAACTTCCAGCATGCGCGTGCAACCGACAATCGACCAGAATCGACAATTTATTACGAATTAGTTCATTAGTTCATACATCGCATCATGAATATACCGATATAACGTCTGACATTAGTAAACCTGCTATGGAGACTGCTAAGTGGTTACTGGTAGCGAAGACACGCGTCTGTTATAAATAGTATTCCCTGTGATGCACGTTATGAAACTAGCTAGCAATCAGGGATATCCATACTTACATGTAGTAATACATGACTTAATTACATGTCAATGTATACGTACCGTAAGCATCCTTTCTACATCGACTCTGTTACAATTCCTCAAATTAGTGTACAGTGATTTGACTCGCGTTGCCCAAGAGCAGTGCAGTGCCTTTCCGAGCGACTGCTGTGTCGTAACATACTAGATTAAAACACGTTTCATATCAAAGTGTAAAAGCAACCACTAAAGGCAATGTTTCATCTTCATCTATTGATGTTGTTGATGGAAAATGTAATAGCGAGTGTTCAATCATTCACAAACTAGGGTTAATTGCTTCGCCGTTCCACTGATGTTGCTAACAACATGGTTGTCGTGATGGAAAATAGGCCTGGCCTCGTATAGCAAATCAGTAATAAACCACGAGCACTCTAAATCCACCACAACAGCTCGCTCTAGCACACTCTATACTCTAGCATCAATCAAGTTTGCACGACAGAGACCGACATATTATAAACATACCAACGAAATGCATTTAGCATATATCGAAATTTTCATTCTTCGTAAACTAATTGTGCTTTGCGACCAATAAAATAACTGAACAGCATAAAATAGCAACTCGAAAGCCCCTATGAAATCGCGCGACAAACGATATGCTTGCATCAGAACTGCGGCAAACTACTTTGACAGTACGAGATGAGATTTCTCGTGTTGTCTGTCTTCATCTCACGTTACTACGAGCCAGCGGCAATGCATTTAGTTATCGTGACATGAAATGCGTAAAACGCAGTACTAACGCTGTTACAGTGATAGACTGCGTCTAACACACACAAATAAACACGCATGGCATTTGTTTTTTTTTGCGGTTTGCGTGAAAAGGGGGTTATATATATTATATATATATATATATATATATATATGTGTGTGTATATATGAATATATATTATAAAATGTATTGAATTTTGTTTCACTTGGTGTATTTTTCTACGTCACCAAAGACAATCTAGTGTGATATCACCATTACATGAGTGTATAATGTATATTATATGAGTATATAGAGAGTATATATATAGATAGTATAGAGAGTTATATATAGAGTATATATAGTTCATTGCTAACTAGTGTAGCAATTTCTTAAACGAAACTATTTTTACAATTTTTTTTTTATAAACATTTATGAAGTGGCAACAACAAACCAGAGCTAAATCCCCGTGGGGTAGCTCAGTCGAGGCTGTGCCCCGTAGAGGCGTGTCCAGGCCTCTTCTTCAACATTGTCCTATGATATATATATATATATATATATATATATATATATATATATTATACAGCTCCTGATATCACCAGTTGAAGGCGTTAGTAGGAATGATAATGTCACAGACAGAATAGTCAACGAGCAAACGAGGATGGAACTGATAACCTTTATTATGTTCTGCTTTACGTTTGCTCTTCGCAAGTTATATTCTACGCATCTCATTTCACTGTGTGCATGATTAGGCTTAGCTTTGATAGCATGATACTTGCGGGCATGTTATTATATTCCCATTAAAATTTATGACTAATAGTCGTATTTGATACACAGTTTTAATGAGCAACACGATGCTGAATACCTCGGTCGTGTCTACGTGCATCGTGTATAGTATTGCTGTCAAAATTGCGTGCTTCCCCCAATTTCCCTGTGCGTCGATGAAAGTAATAAGCAAACTAGAGCAGAGTTAATGTGTTACCGGTAAACGTGTTCTGTGAAACACAACCACCGCTAATATGATCATGATGTATTCATGAGCTGTTTGCGCGTTATACCGCTGGCAGCATAGATATCACATAATACAGCGAATTGTAGCCCGACCAGGCTGTGTGACTAACGTCAATATACACATCGTCTTCTACAATGCCTTAAACAACTTCTACAACGTCTTCAACAACGTCTTCTGACCCTAGCAAAGACCGTTTCTTGGAGCTAAGCGGATTGGTAACCGATTTAAGTCGCCCTTGCATTGTACGCGCCGAAACGGCTTCGTTTAATTTCTTCAAGCTAGTAATATTTAATTACTGTAAAATTAAGGATACTCACAAAGTTTTAAGAAATTTTTTTACCGATTTTTCATTTTCAACTTTATTCGATGGCTAACACTATGTGCCACCTGTGTACATGCTCATTTCTCCATATAACGGTACATGTGAACTGTCAGAGCGTTTTGATTGCCCGCGTACATGGCTAGTGAGCCGCGGCTGACGTCATGATGACGTCAGAGACATGATACAACCAGGGTTACGATATTTTTACGATATTTAGTATTTACTGAGCCAGCCAGCATCCATCAACATCAACTCTGCTACAGCTGTACTAGTAGTAATACTACTACCTTGATCCAACAAGTATCCCACAAAAGCCTAAAATAGTTCTCACACCTCGCAACACACATTACATAAGGCGCGCGTTTGTTGACAGTGACGTCAGATAATGGGCGGGTTCGCGCCATTTTGCATGAAATTGCGCTGGTCATCTCGTAATTTCTCAGAATTTCTCAAGGTGCATGTAACATTTTACCAATTTAGTGGTGTCAGTTAGTCATGGATATGTCGCAGTAAGTACTAACAGTAGATATTTCACATACGTTCACCCATTTTTCACACAGGCGGTCGATCATTGTGAAAAATAGAAAAACGCTGATTTCTCCATTCCAATTTCTGACTTAGTAGTCGATGTATAAATGGATATTTCTCTGTGATTACAACTCGGAATAATTTAATTTTACACTCGTTTTAATGGCAACATATTGCTGTAAAAAATTTTCTCGGTAAATATAGAACATAAAGAAAAATCCTGACAACCTTTTTTGGTACATATTAGGCGTGTTCACACACAAGAAAAACCGCGATGCTAATCGCGATGGAAATACCGAGATAATTGTGTCGTTGTTCACACAGGCGGAAATATCTCGCTAATCGCCGAGCGGGATAATTCGATTAATCGAACTGCGCATGCTCACTGCCGGATATTGATACGATCGCTTGGAATGATGGGATAGAAAATACCGGGATTATTTGCGCGAGCGTTCACACACACGCCGCGGTGCAATTCATCGCGCTAATTCTAAATAATCGCAGTCAAAAGTGCGATTTGCAGCGCGATGCTGATCGCGATACTTAGTGAGATTTTTGCGTTCACACTAGTAAAAATCTCGGTATTTCGATCGCGATGCAAAAACCGAGATTTGCATCCCGCTAATTCCCGCCAGTGTGAACGAGCCTATTGTGCTTAACATGTGGCGAAAATTTTGTATCCTCACTCTTTCTGGTAATTGAGAAATATCCAAAATACCATTTTTACATAAAAATTTAAAATTTGTGTGGTAACATAATTAGGTGCTGGAAATTTCATAATTTTTTTTTGGCTTGAGCATAGAGATATATCTCCTCTATAAATAAAACAAGTGATTGATTCGATTCATTCGCCAATAAACGTTTAATCTTCATTAGAGCAATACCCGTGCAAAAGGTGGAGAGTATCAACTCAACTGGACTGACTACTGGGTTCGTCTCGTATCTGTGTTTCTAATCTCCCATCCTGGGCCATCCTGGGCCATCCTGGGCCATCCTGGATCCATCTGGGGCGCGTACTAACGTTCCTTCGCTATTTTTCCTTCGCTATTTTCAAAGTTGATCGGTAAATAGCGAAGAACACGTCCGCGCGTGTTTCACAAAGCTCCGTTATTTAGCTAACAACTTTAGCGACACCTCTGCAGGGTCTCGGTAAAATTAGCGAAGGACCTGCCGTGTTTAAAGCCTATAAAAACATAATGTAGCGCAGTGTGCGCTGTATATTGTCGCAGCGATGTCGCGGAGGTTGTTTCAGATAAATGCACAAACGATAGTGCCTATATAGGCACTCTATTCACGCGAATACAAGCTCGTGCCCGTGCTGTGCACACATACACAATCAGACTGACACAGGCAGACTTGGCAATCTCTTTCAATTCGTCTGCTAAAACGCGCGCCTGGAATCTACTTTAGGCTCCGTTTCGCCTGCCTGTCGAATAGAATGAATAATAAATATAGATAGATAGATTGGAGATTTTTTTGGGTATTTTCCTTTCAACCAAGCGGTCACCAACTGAGTAACGCCACTGATTTTCCCGGGAAACGCTGGGTATCCCGCTAGTCCATAATAAAGCATTGCAATAATCCTGAATAGCCAGCCGGATTGCGGTAGAGCACGGACGTCACGTCTGAAAGGTCGTGAAACAAATAAATACGAAACGAATACATATGACTTTTAGCGGACGTTCAGGGACTCTCTCTCATCCTTAGCCTTGTTGGCTTTCTCTCTCTCTCTCTTTTTCCTCTCTCTCTTCTC